AAAATTTCAGCACATGTTGAGTGAATTTAAGCTGGCATAGGGCTGGGGGCAGGGTTTGGAATAAGTCATGAGTGACTGAAAGGGACAGACTAGAATTATGACCCAGTTTCTGATTTTGAAAATATGAACACTTTTGCAGCAACACTTTTGAGGCTTGTGAAATACTGTTACAAAGGACAGCGCTGAGCCGGTGCCCTTGCTGTCAGCCTCTGGCACATCAGCACTGCCAACGCCAAGCATGCCAGGACCATGTGCTAGGCCCCCCAAATCATGAGACTGGCTTTAAACCAGAGATTTAAAACCCCTAATGTTCTGGGGTCTGTTTATCTGCTGTCTGGGGTTTGAGGCAGGACGTTTTGTGCTTTCAAGCTTATCTACACAATGGTGAAGGCGAAAAACTTTCGTTTTTTTAAAAAGCCACAAGATTCTCACTGAATCACTTGAATAAGGAGCTGGGGCTTTAAGAAAAACACCAAACAGTACCAGTCTCTCGATAAAATCACTGGAACAGCGTCCTGGGCCGATTTCTCCAAGTGGAGGGTTTTTCCAGTGACTTAGTGAGGTTAGCATGACACGCTGAGCAAGTGTCCTTGTGATGTTCACTTTGAGCAGAAGCACTGTTTGGAGAGTGCGGATGCTCATCGAACTCTTCCTTTCACTCCAGACGCCGTCGGTCACACTGAACGCTCATTCCCTGGACTCTGGTCCTGGTACCCGTACAACAAACGCTGCTCAGCACAGATCTGAATCAGAAACATTTTGTTTACAAAATAAATACAATAAATGTAACTGATAGAACCAATCCCCCCCCCCCACCCTGCTCTGTCTCTCTCACCCCCCTTCCTTCCCTTTCCATTTAGTTGATCCCTGCCTAGTTAACCCCCTCTTCCCCCCCCCCCAAATTGTGGAATGCACGTGATCTCTCTGCTTGTGTGTTACGCCCCTTTCCCCCCTCCCCCGCCCTGCATCTGCTTTATCTATTTGGATTGTAAGTAACTCAGGGTGGGATTATCTACTCCGTGTCTTTTCGGAGCCTAGCATAAAGTTTTTGCTGGTCCCTAGGCACTACCATAATAAACATGGTTAATAATAACAACAACAAAACCAGGATCTTTCAAGTGTCCTTAAAGAACCTCTTGGGATGCTGGGATTGTCTCACCTAACCAGCTTCACTTAGCTTCCATGAAAACTCTCAGAGGGACTGAAAACAGAGGGGGTTAGAATGGAAACAGTTTGGCATCCTTAACCATAACTGTTGCCGCTCTCGGCTGCAACCATAGCTGCTGCTGCTGCTCCGTTTCACAGTGCAGGGACAGTCTGTTACTTGGCTCAACTTTGACCCTTAGCTGCAGCTGAGGGTAGGTGTTTGCAAGGACACAGAGCGGCAATCAGGGTTTATTGCTTTCTATGCACCTTGGAAAAAATAACCCCAACTATACATACAATATGATGGGGGCTAATTTAGCTACAACAAGTCAGGAAAAAGATCTTGGAGTCATCGTGGATAGATGACAGATCTCACTGCAGCCTCCCCGAGCCCAGTCATGCTGCTCTTAAGGAATGGGTCTCTTGTTACTTGTCCTCCCACATTACTCACCACATCCTTGTAATCCCGCTTCTTCCAGGACAATTAATCGAGTGGCTAACAATGCCCTGGAGAACATTTCCCCCTCCCCCACCCCTAATCATTATCTCAGCATCACCAACATCAAGCATTTGAAAATTGTGACTCTTCCCCTTCCCCCCATCACAAGATTGTCTTAAAAATCATGAGATATTTAAAAAATAAATAAGTCTGGGGCTCCTTTTTGTTGCCCTTCTGGGTTTTGAGCCTGTAGGGAGTCACCTTTTCAGGCTTTTCTGTGCAATCACGAGGACTAGACATTTACTTTTTTCTTTAATGAAAGCTGCGAGTCTTGCTTAATAGCCTGACTCCAGGCGCTGGGGCTTTAAGAACACCACCAAGAATTGCAAGACTTCCAATAATATCATGAGAGTTGATACTGTCCAATTTCAGGGCAAGGTTCTGCTCTTGGCTCTCCCCTGATGTTTTTGCCATCCTTGGAGACTGGGGTGATAGGTGAGGTAAGAACCTAAATAAATCCAGATTGGATGTTTTTCTAAATGATCTCCTCTAAGAATTGTATGGGGGCAGGTCTCTGGGCTGTAGGGTGACCAGACAGCAAGTGTGAAAAAATCAGAACGGGGGTGGGGGGGGGGGTAATAGGAGCCCATATAAAAAAAGCCCCAATATTGGGACTGTCCCTATAACATCGGGACAGCTGGTCACCCTACTGGGCTGTGTTACAGAGGCGGTCGCACTAGATGATCACCCTGGTCCCTTCTGGCCTTGGAATCGATGAAAAAATAGATACACGTGTGACTGCCATTGGGAGAGTGCACCATCAGGGAGAGGTGCCATGTGGAGGATCAGGATGGAACGAAGTGGCATAGGTTGATTGAGTGTTCTTACGCCTTTTGGTAGCTGCTGCTGACGTTGCTTGCATTCATTATCGCTGTTTCTTCTCCCTCAGTTACTATCGGTCACAGCTCCAGTCTCCACCATTCTGTCCCGCAGTGATTTACTCCCCTTTTCTTGTACTGCTTCTGTGCAAGGGTCACTGTAATGTGCTGTCCAGCCACTTGTCGCATGGGCAGGTCACAGTTAGACCCACGCTGTGTCCTGTCAGCGCTATGAGGGTGTGGTTTTAAAGTGAACGTGTTCTTTGCCTCCTGCACTCGCTGTTTGGAGGTGGATGCTCAGGAAAGTGCGTCGAATGTCTGTGGCGTTAAAACTGCGTTGAAGGAAACGTAGGGCCTGATCTGAAGCCCATTGGCTCAGTGTGCAGTGGGTCAAGCCCTTGCTGAGTTGGTTTGCATATGGTGCTTCCAGATTGGAGCTACCTATAGTGAGCTGCGATAAGAGTGGCAGTCCCTTAAACTCTGAAAAATGACCCCATAAAAACATCCCCCTGGTGGTCATTGTCATGAAGTGACTCCAGACCGTCTTTGCTCTGGATCTAATACAAAGATCAGTTCAGGAGCTGGTATTCCCGCTGGCTCTGGACTGGCCGCTCTCAGCTGGCAGTTCCCCAAGGGTGGCACAGCAGAAGTGGGCCCCGCGGGGGAGATAGAAAGACCAGGGGAGTGGTCCTACAGCTGGGTGCAGGGAGAGAGTTCCACGTGCTGGTGCTGGCAGGAGAAGCAGATGAGTGGGCAATGGAGCACAGGGCTTTGGGGCGACCCAATGCGATACGGGAGTGGCTAGGCAGTAGAGACAGAGGCGCAAAGGGCCTTGGAGTGGGGCACTGGAAACTTGTCCTGGTTATGCTGGGGAAGCCAGTGAAGGGCCTGAGGGGGGAGATGGGGGGGACACATGGTCAGGGGAACGAGCCAAGCAGATGATGTCAGCAGCAGCATTTTGAATGGGCCCAAGTGGGGGTCGAGGTGGGAGTCATGGAGGCGAGAGGGGGAGTTGAGGCAGGAGATGCTGAGGGATGGGAGACGTAACCACCCGGGCAGAGAGGAAAGGCCAGATCCTGGCAATGTTGTGAAGGGAGAACCGGCACGATCTGGGCATGGCCTGGCTGTGGGGGCCGAGCAGTTTCCCGGCCTGAGTGCCAGGGAGGAGGGTGGCGACAGAGAAAGGGGAGAGGTGCCAAGGAGCTCAGTTTGGGGATCAGAGTGTCAAGCTGGGCCCCTGTACTGAAGGTTGTGCGAGCCGAGTGCTGCCCTCCGTGCTAACTCCGCACCGCCATTGTTCTCCGAGGGCTTGTGGGACGGGAACGAGATCTGACCCTGCGGCTGAACGTGGTTAACCGTTGTTTGAATGAGCCAGAATAGAGTCCAGCTCTCTTGTGCTGGCTCTGCAGCGCGAACCGGCGCGAGAGGCCCTAAAAACTTACGCTTGCCTCTTGAGTAAACTGCCCTGAGTCTGGATCCATCCCGGGGCAAGTCTGGAGACGGAGGGGCGTCTTTACAGTCGCCTGCTGACGCTAACTGCAATTCGGTAGCAAAGTAGAACGGAAGCCCCACACCCAGTTATCTCACTGCAGCTCTGGCGATGTGCATTGACCACGCTTTTCCAGCGATTCGTTCCGATTGGCTGAAACATCCATCACGTGACCAAAAGGAACTTGGAACTGTAGTCTATAAAACCCGGAAGAGTCATGTTAAAAAAATCAATCCCTCAAGCAGTAGTTGGGAGTCTAAGGGTGATTTACTGAGCGTGCTCAAAAACACCAGGCTTCCGGAAACAGAGAGAGCCAACACATGCCCTCTGTTTCTGGGTTTGTCGTTTTATATTAAGCAATAGACAATTATTATTAAAACAGATCGTGCCTGTCTCTTCCCTCCAGGCAATAACCCTTGAGAACGAATGATATTCTCAGCCCTGCCTAAGGGATTTAGACACAGTGAGACTTGGGCCTCTTAACCCCGAGACAACTTTGAAAATATCACCCCAAATCTTTCCTCCAGTGGGGAAATCAGGCCCCAAGCCCTTGGCCTTATGCTGCTGGTGGCGTTTCCATCCTCACTCGTGGTCAGACAGCCCTTGCCTTCAGATGAGATACGTAGCTGGGCCTGCCAGATACCTCCCTTTCCTGGGACAGTCCCGCTGCAGGGGTTCATTTCACAGCTGGAGGTAAGCAGCTTTTAGGGCCTGGCGTGCACCAGTCAAGCACTGGGTGCCTCACTGGGCGGGTGCTACTCAGACCAGCTTTGTGTGCAATTTTGGATGAAACCCAGCCCTGTGCAAAAGGATCAGCAGAAGGCCCAAGCATCACTGAGGTCCTGTATCAGCCCTGAGCGCGTCCCGAGAGGCGCAAAGCATCCAGAGCTGACGTGGGACCTCAGTGGTGCCGAAGCCTCGTGCACTCCCTTCTGAAGCCCCATCCCTGAGCTTTCCCGAGGGCCTCTACAATGGATCATAGGTCTCCTGCTTTTCCTTTTTCCTGGAACGTCTGGCTTGACTCTCTGCTCTCTGTTTTCTCTTGTAGGGGTGGCAATAAGCACTTACGCCAAGTACTGTTACAACAAGCTCCAGAAAGCAGCCTTGACAGGAGCAAAGAAGGTATCGTCTGGTCCCTTTTTGCTTTGTTTCTTTCACGTTGGCTTCCGAGCCAGCTGGTATGAGCAAATGTCCGACTGTCACTGAAGCGTGCCCGGGGGGTGGGGGCGTGATAGAACCATGTGGGGGTGGATGGAGTGTGGATTATCTTCCCAGTCCAGGCTGTTTGCTCCCGTGTTCTCTGTCTTTCAGCCTGCTGAGTCTATCCAAAGTCTAGAGCAGGGATAGGCAACCTATGGCACGTGTGCCGAAGGTAGGGTGACCAGATGTCCCGATTTTATAGGGACAGTCCCGATTTTTGGGTCTTTTTCTTATAGAGGCTCCTATTACCCTCCCACCCCCGTCCTGATTTTTCACATTTGCTGTCTGGTCACCCTAACCGAAGGCGGCACGCGAGCTGATTTTCAGTGGCACTCACACTGCCCGGGTCCTGGCCACCAGTCTGGGGGGCTCTGCATTTTAATTTAATTTTAAATGAAGCTTCTTAAACATTTTAAAAACCTTATTTACTTTACATACAACAATAGTTTAGTTATATATTATAGACTTCTAGAAAGAGACCTTCTAAAAACGTTAACATGTATCCCTGGCACGCGAAACCTTCAACGAGAGTGAATCAATGAAGACTCGGCGCACCGCTTCTGAAAGGTTGCCGATCCCTGGTCTAGGGAGTCCTGCATGTCCCGGAGATGGACTTGGGTAAAAAGATCAGCTCAGTGAGGTGCAATGTTTGTGTTACAGTGAAGGGGGAGAACCAGCAGAGATGGACTCAAATGGAAAACTCTGCAGCCAGGTCTGGATCTGGAATGCGTGACTCTTCGGCTTGGCCCATTGTAAAAGACCGGGGCAATATTCCGAACTAGATTTCCACCCAGTCTCTTTGTTCTGCCTTTGTACCGCACCTGGCCCAGAGGAGTGCTGACCTGTGCCTGGGCTCCGAGGTGCTGCTGTAACACAAATACCTGGGAGTGGTGACTCGAGAGCCCCCCTGTTGGGCTAGACTCTGTGCAGGCACGTGGGGAGAGCCAGCTCATGCCACCAAAGAGCTAATGTGACTAGAGAAGACCGACGATAGGTGGGAGGTGGAATGGCGGCGCAGAGAGGGGAAGTGACTTGCCTGAGGTCACCCAGCAGAGCAGTGTGTCGGAGATGGGAAAAGATGGTGGCTTTGGAGGCTTGATTCAGGCTCAGGCCTGGAGCCCAGACCCCTACCTGAGTCTCCAGTTTCATTTAGGCCAGTGGCAACTGGAGCGGTACGTTATGCTGGAGTTCAGGGTTCCCCTAGGCCTTTGTGTCCAGCTGTATTGGATACAAAGCACCTGCCTCTCCTCTCGCTCCCCTGGCAGTAACTCCACTGACCTAGTTCGAGCAGTGTGTGGGAGCGGAGATTGGGCCCCTAGAGTCCAGCGCTGGGGGGGATCTGATCCTTGAGTAGCCAGTTTTTCCTACCAGCCTGGTGTGAGCACAGCTGGCTTCAGGGCTCTGTGCTTTCCCTGCTGCTCTCTGATCTGGCCCCTTGCCCACCACGTGTCAACTGCAAATGCTGCTTTGCTGTCCAGATGAAAAAACAATCGGAGTTTATTGCTCCCGCTGTTAGTTTATGGCCCCTGTTGTTTTCATGGGAACCGAAAAGCAGGGCAAGTGCGGAGCAGTGGAGTGAAATTTACAGCCTGCTGTAATAGCTGCTTGGGGAGCCAGTGTTACAACCGGGCCTGTGCAGAGGAACGACCTTCCCAAAGCCAGCCACGCCGCTAGGCAGCTCCTACTCACAGCCGGTGCCCGGGGGGAGCCCAGAGAGCGCATATTGCGAGCGCAGTGCCCAGGGTGCAGACAGCAGCCTGCTGGGCCCAGTGGGAGAACCTGCTCGCGCACAGGACAGAGGCCTTGCTTAGCTTGGGCCTGGTCTACCACGCATTGAAGTCAGCCAAGTTCCATGGGCATTGGATCGAGCCCTGTGGTATGGGAACCCTGCTCACTGTCTCGTGCAGACAGCTCCATTCCTCTGAGCCCTACCTGAAACCTCTGCAAACCCCGCTCGCTGGGGACAAAACCCACCGGGTCCCACAGTGCCCCGGGCCAAAAGGCAGGCGATCATGGCCGGGTCCCTGCTCAGAGATGGGGGCCACAATCCCTAGAGACAGGGCCAGCTCCAGGCACCAGCTTGGCAAGCAGGTGCTTGGGGCGACCACTCCAGAGAGGGGCGGCAGGTCCAGCTATTCGGCAGCAATTTGGCAGATGGTCCCTCACTCCTGCTCGGTGTCTGGCTGCAGGAGGCTGTGAGGGGTGTGGGTGGGTGACATGGGAGCCCAGGGGGTGTCTGGCTGCAGGAGGCCATGGTGTGTGGAGGATATTGGAGGCAGCGTTGGGGCTTTTCTCTCTCCCTATCGGGGTTTCCATGGCAGGTTTTATTGCCTAAGCACGTCGCTTACTGGTTTTCTGTCTGGTAGTCCAACCCCCGGCTCAGCCTGACTGATACCATAGTACACAACGCTGCGTTCAGCTGAATTTCACACACAGCCCATCAGCCAGAGCGCTGACCTGTCTCACTCAGTCCACCTGCTGGAGTCCCATGGAGGAGTTCCCGTGGAAGGGACCGTGACCGAGACCATCGCCCTAGACCGCGTCCCCCAGTGTCTGAGCACTGGCTAGCCAGACCACCTGGGGCTGGCGGGAGCATGTCGTGGTTCAAGTCCAGGGTTGGTGATAGAGAACCTGAGCCCTCCCACTCCTCTGGGTTCCAACCCTGGGCCCTGGGGCAGGCAGTCCAGGTGTGGGGCCTGGGCCACCAGCCTACTCCCGGGTCACTTCCTCTTCAGAGGCACGGCAGAGGCCTGCCGAATGGCCTTCAATGCATTCCCCCAGAAGGGGGCTGGAGGTCCCTGCCCCACTGGCAGATGGTCCGCTGTCTCTTCTGCCCTGGCTTGTGGCTCTGTCTTGAGATCAGCTTCAGGGCAGTGCTGGGCTCCTGCGGGCGCCTTGGCACTGACCACTCTGACTGAGCTGTGCTGCCCTTTTAAACGCCCCCTCCATTGAGAGCACGCCCAGCGGGCACGGCTGGGCAGAGCCTCCTGTGCCCAGAGCTGCTCCTTAACCCCCCCCCGCCTGACTGTACAGCCCATCACTGGGGTATAATAGCGATCGTGGCCCTTCTGTAGCACCATCCAATGTGCTCAGAGCGCCGCAGTTATGAACTCAGACTCGGTGGTGGGGAAACTGAGGCACAGGGTGGGAAAGTGACTTAACCACATTCCCACAGCGAGTTGGGCAGCACTGGGAATAGGACCTGATCCCCAGTCCTGTGTCCCCACCCCGACACTCCCCCAGAATTCCCTCAGAGGGCTGCACCTTGGGCTCCCATTCCGCACCAGGAAGCTGAATGCATATGGGGAGAGGCCATTCTAATCCCTTTCCGTCTGTTCCTGTCGCACCCGGCTCCTTTTGTGAGCTTAGTGCCGGTGAACGGTGCCAGATTTCAGAGTAGCAGCCGTGTTAGTCTGTATCCGCAAAAAGAAGAACAGGAGGACTTGTGGCCAGATTGACAGCCCTGGAGATAACGGCCTCGTGGCCACTGAGCGGGTACAGCGCAGCCCGTGGATGCCACCCCTTACCCCCTGCCTGCCCCGCATGCCCTAGCCTTGTGCCGCAGCCCCGGCCCCTGGGATGAGAAGAGCTCTCAATCTCTACGGCACGTTCTGTCCTGGGCCTTTCTGCAGAGACTGCCCATAAGGAAGTGTGGTTCTGCCAAAACACCATTAGGAATTGGACAGAGGCTCTCAACTAATCACAGGCCATCGAACAGCTGTTGGGTGGTAACAGCTGTCAGCCGCTGGACTGGACCTGGTGACCTAGGGGTGAAAGGCTCTGTGTCCCACTGCCTGTCCCCGCCAATGCAGGGGGCATTATCCAAGAGGCTGTTTTATCTCCTGAAGAAGAGTTGAGCTGGACTCTGTGTTTGCTAACCTAAAAAGTAGGGCAGTGCCCAGGAGACACAGATCTCACTGCAGCCTCCCCGAGCCCAGTCATACAGGACAGACTGGAGCTGGAAAGTCCCAGAAGCGTGTCAGAGACGAATGACGAGTTTTTCTTCCAAGTTCTTGTCTACAGAGAGACCAGAGCATGAGGCATAGGGCAGACTCGTTCCCAAGGATTTCAGCACAATGGCAGCATCTCAGGCGGGCGGATGGAGCAGGAGAGGGAAAGAAATCTGGAAAATATTCTCCTCCTCGATTTAAAGGAGAAGAGCCTGGCTGCTTCTCGGGTGGTCTTCCTAGAAAATGCAGTGTCAGAGCCAGAGCACCTCCCCACAGAGCGGACAGACAAATGATAAGCCCTGGAGATCCCAAAGGACAGATGTCTGGGAATCCAGATCCCAAAGGCAGCAGCAGCAGTAAGTGCTTTATCTCTAAGGACACTCATATTCTCATGGAAGGTGGGAGGCAGCACTGAGGAGAAATCCACAGATTCGTAGATATAAGACCAGAAAGTAGCACAGTGATCATCTAGTCTGACCTGCATAACACGGGCCATGGGATTTCCTGAATTATTCCTGTTTGAATTAGAGCAGATCTTTGAGAAAAAACATCCTATCTTGATTTCCAGCGACGGAACCCTTGAGAGCGTGTTCCAGTGATTAATTGGGATGATTTAGTTGGGGATTGGTCCTGCTTTGAGCAGGGGGTTGGACTAGATACCTCCTGAGGTCCCTTCCAACCCTGATCTTCTATGATTCTATGAATTACTCTCACTTTTAAAAATTTGCTACCTTATTTCTAAATTTGTTGAGCTTCAACTTCCAGCCAATGGTTCTTGTTAGACCTTTGCCTGCTACATTGAAGAGCCCTTTGTTGTCACATTTCTGTGCCCTATATAGCTACTTATAGTTGTGATGAAGTCACCAAGGGCTTCTCTTTGTGAAGCTAAATATATTGAGCTCCTTGCGTCTATCACTATAAGGCAGGTTTTCCAATCTTTTAATCATTCTTGTGGCTCTTCTCTGAACCCTCTTCAATTTATCACCATCCTTTTTGAGCTGTGGACACCAGAACTGGACACAGTATTTCAGTAGTGGTTGCTCCAGTGCCAGATACACGGGTAAAATAACCTCTCTATTCCTCCTCGAGATTCCCCTGTTTATGCATCCAAAGATCGCATTAGTCGTTCTGGCCACAGCATCACACTGGAGGCTCAAGTCCTGCTGGTTATCCACCATGACCCCCAAGTCCTTTTCAGAGTCACTGCTTCCCAGGATAGAATCCCGCATCCTGTAAGTATGGCCACATTCTTAGTTCCTAGATGTATGGATTTACATGTGGCTGTATCGAAACACGTATTGTTTGCTTGTGCCCAGCTTACCAGCTGATCCCGATTGCTCTGTAGAAGTGACCAGTCACACTGTAACAGAATCATCAGAAAAAGAGAAACTCTCCCTTGTTCCTGTGTGAAAATGACTCCAAGAGAGACCAGACCTTTGAGCACGGACTGAGGGCTCCCTCGGTTCCTACTGGGGCTTCTACAAGGAGAAGGCTCTGGAACACAGAGAGGCATGTAGACAGGAAGCCCCTTTGCGCTACACAAACAAATGCTGCTGTTTGCTACATCCGTGTAAATCCAAAGAGCTGTGTGGACTAGAATGGGATTTACACCCACAGCCCTGAGAGCAGAATCTGGCCCACTGTATGATTTAGCCCTGACCAACACGGGAGTGTTTGTCACATCCCAGAGCGGTTTGTAAATGACAGTAATTATAAATGAAGGCTGTGCTCAGAGAACTGCTGGAGCATGCGAGGTACTGATGTAACCAGCTGCCGTCACTCCAGTCCTGGGAGAGATAAACAGCCAGGCAGTCACTAACAAGGAGTAATGTGGGGAATTATGGACAGGACAGTTTAGGCTGAAGATCAAGAAAACATCCTGGTGGTTGAGCTCTGCCAGGCTGTGGAGGGATGTGGTGTAAACCTCGTCACTAGGGATGTGAAGGTAGGTAGGAAGGACATAGCCCTAGACAACACACTGTAGGATACAATCCAGCATTGGACTGGCTGATGTTATAGCCCTCATTCATCTCTAACTTCTCTGGTGTTATTCTGGGATGGGGATTTCCCGTCGCCAGCCCGGGGCTGTCTCCCTCCTTCATTCTAATGGTTGTGCCAGCTCCCGTCTGGAAGCACCTATACAACCTCACCAAGGAGGCAGGCTTGAGCAGAGAGGCTCTCTCATCGCCTGACTCTCAATTTGCCCTCCTGATTAAAGCATGTCCTCTTGCTCCAGCCACGCTTTGACAACAGCATTGACAGCTTTTCTAACTTAGCGAGTGCCTATCAGTGTCAGCCCAGCATATTAAACTGTCGCTGCGAATTTGCATTATCCAAAGAAGGCAGTGGAGACAGAAGGGGTGAGATCTTCTCAGCAACACTTGCTCCCTTCTTCCCAGGGTGAGCTCCCTCACAACCTGGAGTAAGGGAGAGGTGGTGGCATCGAATTCTCCTGGGCAGGTAGGCCTGCTTGGTGCTGACTCCCTGGGGGATGCAGAGCCCCACACTTCCTGAACTGGTCTTTTGCAGCCACTCATGCTAGAGGATTTCATGGACCTTGGAGTGGGCAGGTCTCCTGCCTACTCTCTGGCCCTCTTCCCATTAGTTCAAGCACAATAGCACAGGCTGTTTCTTGCCATGTGATGGGATTTTTCAACCAGTCATGAATCAGGAGTGAGGGAGCCTCACGTGGGATAGCAGAATTGCCAACCCCTAGAGTTCAAAACTCAGGAGTCAGACCCAGAAAATGGGACTTGTAAAGGCTCAGAAACCTGGAGTGGGGTCCTTTTAGTTGCCTTCAGGTTTCTGAGCCTTTACAAGTCCCATTTTCAATCCGTGCTCTGCAACCTCCAGCGCTTTAAAAACAGAAAACCCAGTAATAGTGGGGGATTTCAGCTATCCCCATATTGACTGGGAACATGTCACCTCAGGATGGGATATGAAGATAACATTTCTAAACATCATTATTGACTCTTCTTGGAGCAGCTGATCCTGGAACCCACAAGCAGAGAGGCAATTCTTGATTTAGTCCTAAGTGGCTACAGGATGTGGTCCAAGAGGTAACTGTAGCTGAACCTCTCAGTAATAGCAACTGTAATGTCATTAAATTTAACATCCTTGTGGGAGGGAAAATACCAAAGACACCCACCACAGTCGCATTTAACTTCAAAAAGGGGAACTACACAAAAATGAGGAGACTAGTTAAACGGAAATTAAAAGGAACAGTCGTAAGAGTGAAATGCCTGCAAGCTGCATGGAAATTTTTTAAAAACACCATGATAGAGGCTCAAACTATATGTATACCCCAAACTTAAAAACAAACAAACAAGAGGAACAGAAAAATGCCACTCTCGCTAAACAACAGATTAAAGGAGGCACCTAGAGACAAAAAGATCTTTTAAAAATTGTAATTCAGATCCTACTGAGGAAAATAGAAAGATGCATAAACTCTGGCAAGTTACGTGTAAAAGTATAATTAGGCAGGCCAGAAAAGAATTTGAAGAGCAACTAGCAAAAGACACTAAAGCTAACAGCAATTTTTTAAAGTACATCAGAAGCAGGAAACCTGCCAAACTATCAGGAGGCCACTGGATGATCAAGATGCCGAAGGAGCACTCCAGGAGGACAGAGCTGTTGGGGAAAAGCTAAATGAATTCTTTTTATCAGTCTTCACTGTAGAGGATGTGAGAGAGATTCCCACACCTGAGCCATTGTTTTTAGGTGACAGATACGAGGAACTGTCCCAGACTGAGGTGTCAATAGAGGAGTTTTAGAAACCAATTGATAAATGAACAGTAGATGGTATTCATCCAAGAGTTCTGAAAGAACTCCAATATGAAATGGCGGAACTGCTAACTATGGTATGTAACCTATCGCTTAAATCAGTCTCTGTACCAGTGACTGGAAGATAGTTAATGTGATGCCAATTTTTACAAAAGGCTCCCAGTTATATTGTATGAGTGCTGGAGCCAGCCACTCATGAATTACACTACAGAGCAAAACCGCCAACTCCCAGTCCCAGACGTTCCCCAGCAATGTGTGTCTTGTACTGCCCAGCTCTCTCCTGGACAACACAAGCTCATATAAAGTCTGTCAACTGATTAATACAAAATGATATGTACAAATCCTGCCATCCCAAATGGAGTTTCCCAAATACTTCAGTCCAAATACACCGGTTTAGATAAATCAGTAAAACAAGTTTATTAATTACAGAAAGAGAGATTTTAAGTGACTACAAGTAATGAGGCATAAAAGTCAGAATTGGTTACAAGAAAACAGAAGGAAAACGCAACTTTGGGGAGTCTAGCCTCTGGCTCTGCCCTTTCTGCCCATGCCCCCGGAGCCCCGAGCCCTCCCACTCCCCCCCCGGAGCCAAAGCACTGAGACTCCCTGTGGCCAGAGCCACAAGCCTCCCACCCACCCCACCTGACGGAGCCCTGAGGTGCACCGCTCAGAGCCAGAGGCTCTGTAGAGAAATGCAAAGTAACGCACATAATCCTAACTATACATATAAAATGACGGGGTCTAAATTAGCTGTTACCACTCAAGAAAGAGACCTTGGAGTCATTGTGGATAGTTCTCTGAAAATGTTCAGCGTCACTCAAAATAGTGAACAGAAAGTTAGGAACCATTAGGAAAGGGACAGATAAAAAAATCATAATGCCATTATAAAAATCCATGGTATTCCCACACCTTGAATACTGTGTGCAGTTCTGGTCACCCTCTCTCAGAAAAGATATATTAGAATTGGAAAAAGTGCAGAGAAGGACAACAAAAATGACTGAGGGTATGGAACAGCTTCCATATGAGAAGAGATTGAAAAAACTGGGACTGTTTAGCTTTGAAAAGAGATGACCAAGGAGGGCTAGAGGTCTGTAAATTCATGAATGGTGAGAAGATAGTGAATAAGGAAGCATTATGTATCCCTTCACATAAACACAAGAACCAGGGGTCATCCAATAAAATTAATAGGCAGTAGGGTTTTTTTTTTTTAAAGAGGAAGGACTACTTCACACAACGCATAGTCAACCTGTGGAACACGTTGCCGGGGGATGTTGTGAAGGCCAAAAGTATTACTGAGTACAAGAAAGAATGAGACAAGTTCTTGGAGGATAGGTCCATCAATGGCTATTAGCCAAGGTGATCAAAGATGCAACGCCATGTTCTGGGTGTCCCTAAGGCTCTGACTGCCCAAAGCCGGGACTGGATGACAGGGGATGGATCACTCAATAAATTGCCCTGTTCTTTCCATTCCCTCTGAAGCCTCCGGCACCAGCCACTATAAGAAGACAGGATACTGGACTAGCTGGACCATTGGTCTGACCCACTATAGCCATTCTTATGAAATGTGGCAGCGGGTAATCCAGGAACATCAGGACTTCAGAAGCTGTGGATGGGTCTTTCCAGTCCCCTCGAGGAAGGTCCTGCAGAAAGAGAGAATGTGACTGGAATGGAAATAATAAATAGGAAAGTGTCTTTCCTTCTATTAGACAAAATAGTGGAAGCAGGTGCTCTGCCCTTGCTTGCCACGACTGATTTTTCACTTCTTGATTATAGCTTTCAATGAATACATATATTTTTCATGCCTTAAGCACAGGACTAGAGTTATAATTGCTTTTCGAGAGCATCACAGGCTGTGAGGTTCCTGAGACAACGGGTGGTTTTAACCCTTTGTGAACAGGATTTCCGACTCCCTGGCAGTGAAATTGACTCCAGCGCAGGGGGATCAAACTCAAGCCCCAGGCACCACATATGCCCTGCTGCAGTCCACTGAAGTGGGACGTGTGTGGTGCCTGGCTCTTGTATCTGTCCCCCCTCCCTCCTCCTGCACTGGGGTCGTTTTCACCCGAGAATCAACCGAGCACAGCTGCAGCTGCTTCCCAAACAAAACCAATTAGATTTTTATTTGTAGCTCGGATTTCAATTCAATTAAACCCCAGCACAGTGATAATCGAAGTTACCAAGCACTGAAATAAAACTTTCCACAATTAAGCATTACAAGGCGCCCGTCAGTTCCTCGTTACTTGCTCATTAGGAAAGTTGTTTTCCCCCATCTGGTGCCCTTAGACTATTTACAGCTTCTAAAGGAGCAACTCTTTCTCCCCCCTTAGAGTAGCAATTCTTATTAAGGATGGAAAGTCCAATAGCGAAGCTGTCTGGACTGCAGAGCTGCCTCGTGTAGGGGAAGAACTAACCCCACACCATCATTACATTTGGTCGTGTCTAGAGGCCCCACGGTGCTAGGTGCTGTACAAACATAGTAAAATACAATCCCTGCTCCAAAGACAAGACAGATACAGGGCAGGAGGAAAGGAGTGTTCTTGTTCCTGACTTACCGGTGGACAGCTGAGACGCAGACAGAGCAAAGTGACCTTCCCCCAGGCACATAGAGAGCTGGGAACCGAACCCAGGACTCCTGAGTCCCAGTTCACCGTCTTCACTGCAAGCTCGTCCTTCCTCTAGTGTCTGTCATTAGAGCTCAGTGTCCCTCGTTTTCCAACACTAGAGATGCCCAAACGTTGCTTAGCTGAGAGATGCCCTGGCCACTTGCCAGGAGCCTGCGCTTCTGCCTGAGTCTGCAGGATGCCTTAATTTGCACCCCACTGCTCCCCACTGTTCTGGCAGTCAGGAAGGGCCAGGGTGTAGGGCTTCAGAAAAGCAGCTGACAGAATAAAGAAATCCCAATACGCTTAACAAACCTACTGTTAACCTGGGCTACGTAAACAAGCTCCAGGAATAGAAACGCAGGCCGAAAGCTGGCAGCAGGGTGACGGGTATGCAGCTTACCGCATGGAGTGCAGCCTGTATGATGACCTGCCTCATGGGCCGGTGGCGTACGTGTGCATTCCCTGCAAGCAACTCACGGCCCTCAGAGACAAAGTACAGCGCTGGAGGCCAGAGTGACTGAACTGGAGCAGCAAAGGGGGACACAGAGGTACACAGAGGAGACTTTCAAGGACAGGATAGAGGGGTCCCATCTCCTGTCCGAGAGCCCGTGCATTGTTGAGGAGGATGAAAGTCTCAGGGCAGGAGCACATCAAACTGGAGAGGAGGGAAACAATCCCATAGTTGGGACCCACCTTCCACGTGATGTCAGGAGGTCCTCTTGCCCTGAGGATACCCCTCCAGGGCAGGGACTCCAGTTATTAAAAAGAGACAGGAAACAGCAGTGGGGGTTTCGATTATTAGAACGAAAAGTATTATTTACCCTTTCCCACAATACAAAAACCAGGGGTCACCCGATGAAATACCGGTTTAAAACAAACAAAAGGAAATATTTTTTCACACAACTAACCTGTGGAACTCATTGCCATGGGATGTTGTGAAGGAGAAAAGTGTAACTGGCTTCAAAAAAAAGAAATAGATAAGTTCACTGAGGATAGGTCCATGAGTGACTATTAGCCAAGATGGTCAGGGATGTAACCCCATGCTTGGGTTGACCCTAAACTTCTGACTGCCAAAGCTGGGAGAGGAAGACAGGGTGGATTGCTCCAAAATTGCCCTGATCTGTAACTCCCCCTGAAGATCTGCTACTGGCCTCTGTCAGCAGACAGGATCCTGGGCTCAGTGGACCGTTGGGCTGACCCAGTCTGGCCATTCTTATGCCCCAGTACATTCACACAGGCTATTTTTCCTCATTCCCCTCCCCAAGAGCAGGAGGATACTGCTGCCACAAGCTGTGCTACGTCATGGCACTTTATACCGTGATACCAATGGGTCCTGCACTCAAAGTACGATAGGGACGACGCTCTTTTGTCCCTAGGGAGGCCCTGTAATCACTTTGGATATGCGTGAATGCTGTGGCATGTACAATAATCTGCAATACAATATACGCCCTGCAGAGAGGACATGCCCAGTGCTGTCTGTCACAACTTCCTCTGTACTGAAAAACAGCGGATAATCCTTCACAGGAACGGTGGTGAGCTGGCGAGGAGTGGGTGGGGAACAGCAAGGATTGCTCGTGTCAAAGCACAGCGCTGGGTGTGAGCATTGGAGCCCAGTTGTACAGGCTTTCCTGGGATTGGCCGTGGAAGCCTGGGCCAGAGGAAGGATAGTCTTGCGGGTGCCCCATGGCTTGGGCTGCAGGACACATGGATTCAGTTCTCAGCCCCCTGCTTTTCTGTGTGACCTTGGGTGTGTCACTTAATCTGTGTCTGTCTGTAAAATGGGGACAATAATGCTCACAAGGACGTTCTGAGGCCAAGTTAATGAATATGGCAAGGCCCCCTGGTAGTCCATAGTAGAGGGCAGGAGAAGATCAAGACTGAGCCACATGGAGCTTTCCCAGAGTATGTCTGTAGGGACCTGCTCCCAGAATGCCCTGCTCTAAGCGTTTTTCCTTATTCTTAATCTCAGTTCCCAGCCAGAGGCCCAGCAAGGAATCTGCAGGCATTGCATTTTATTCTCCCCACTTCCCAAGTGGTTAAAATCACTTGGCCTTTGGCTTCTTCACATCACTCCTGGAGTGTTATAAACAACTGAACAATCTCACGAGCAGCCGCCCCGTTTCAACCAGAAGATGTCATTGCAGTGAACTGTCTAATGGCAGATGAATAACGAGCAGGGCTGGAGGAATGGGGAGAGTCAATCAGGGCTGCATAACGCTCTGCACTGGCAAAACAGAGCTTTCCTACAGCGTCCCAGCTGCGCTGTGAAACGCCGTCCCGCCAGACCACAGAGAACAGCAGTGTGCCGGGCATTAGTAACAAACAGGGTTGCCCATAAAATATGAAAACCTCATGTGATATTTCTAATGCTAATGAGCTTAGATGTATAGCGCACCTGTCACCCAGAGGGGAGTCAAAGTCAGGGCAAACTTACCAAGCAGAAACAGGTACGCAGATCACTTCATCCACCACTGAAATGCAGCCACCTCTGGAAAGGAACAAAACAGCTGCTTGACAGCGCACAGCATATGTTATACAACGTTGTGAGACAAGACTAACGTAGCCCTTTAAAACTGCAGGGGGAATCTAGGTGAGCAGAGTACCCCGTGTGGCCAAGACACCTGGGTTTACATTCCAGTCCTTGTGAGAGGTGCCACAAGTGGTCAGGGCTTCCTTTCTAAAGCGCATCGAAAGGTTGCTTCCAGCAGCACAGCTCCTCTCAGCACTCTGCTGAGGCATTGGTTCAGGGCTCAGCCGGGGAAGAGCACCACCTGCTGATTCACCGCAGCACGGGATCCTTTCCACCCAATAGAGAGGGTGAGGGGGAAGACCACTGGCTAGTGGCACAGGAACGTTTCCTGTAGCAGCCTGTGTTTTGTGGCAGTCTCCCATCCCAGCTCCAACACCCGTGCCCCCGTTTAGCTTAGCTCTGACTAGGTTATGGCACGTAGGCATAGAGCTGCATAGAAAATGCATGGCCTTCAAACATACAAAACTGCAAGCAAAGGGAGTGGGCAGCCTCACTATACCGGTACCTCTGATACCCGGGTGCCCACGTCTTTCTGCCTGCCTTGTAACACCTTCCCCCCCCCCATGCAGCATGCAGTTTCTCTGCCTGTACATGTCGCTGCTAGGAACAGGCACAGAGAGTGCTTCTACTTTAACGTCCATCTAGTGTATTACTACCAAGTTTTCCATGGCTGGGGCAGTGGATTCTTACCCAAGTGCCTAATGGAGAGTGGGGTGCAGAGCAGGGATGGGCTGATACCCCAGTGATTATCACCTGTCGGGGGCAGGCACTGAATGGAATGGCAGAGATAGGATCGACATCCAAGTGATGGGGTTACCATTTGTTGATAAAGTGCCCAGCTTGGGGAGGGGGTGGCTTGCTGGATCCCCGCCTGCTTTTGAATTCTCATGCTGCAGCAGTTGCTATTGGCAGGAACGCCTGGCTTTCACATAACTCCTCGCCATAGAGCTCAATGTGCGTTTCAGGTATCCTCGCTTTATGGACAGGGTCATCTAGGCCAGTGGTTTTCAAACTTTTTTTCTGGCGACCCAGTTGAAGTAAATTGTTGATGCCCATGACCCAACGGAGCTGGGGATGAGGGGTTTGGGGTGTGGGAGGGGCTCAGGGCTGGGGCAGGAGGGTTGGGGTGCGAGGATGAGGGCTGCAGGGTGGGGCCAGGAATGAGGGGTTCATGGTATGGGAGGAGGCTCAGGGCTGGGGCAGGAGGTTGGGGGGCAGGAGGGGGGGCAGGGCTCTGGGCTGGGGGTGCAGGCTCTGGGGTGGGGCCAGGGATAAGGGATTTGGGGTGCAGGAAGGGGCTCT